ATTAGTAAAGGATAAGAAATTTACTCATAAGCCTGTGCCTACTATGGAAGGGCCTCCTTTTGTGGCCTACTGGATAAATGGAAAACTCTGGTATCCACCTAGCGGGGCTAATAGTATGAAAAGATTACCTGATCCTCCTTTGCCTTATACAGGAGCTTATAATGAAGATAGCATACATATGGTGAATTAAGATGGAATTCATGTGCCTTATAGTAGTTTAAGTGTCATAGAAAGGCTGGCTAGGTCAGGACCTCCTTGGTGCTTAAAAAACAAAGGAACAGAAACTTAGCTTATGAAAGCAGCTTTGTAAAACTGATTTTTATAAATATTTCCCTCAATACTGCACCAAGGAAACTTTTTAACAGCTATGAGAAAGGTTCAGCTTGAACTTTAGATATAGCAAAAATCAAATAGTATTTAAAAGATTTCTTCAGGCAGAAAGAAGAACAATGTCTGCCCACAAGCCAATGCTTGCTGTTATGAATACCTCTATCTATCACCTTTACTTAAGTCAAACTGTATCTTATGTAATAGATATAAGAATTAAAAGTTTAGATTGTTCCATCAGGTAGTTCTGTTCTAATAATTGAGAAAAGAATGTACTAGTTAATCATGAATATTAATAATAATATACTCTATAAGATTTTCTGCTTCGCTTAACCACAGAAATTTAACTCCCTGCTATCTTAACCACAAAGTATAATCAAATGCCAAAATGGAAAGTATAAAAATTATACTCAAATCACAATAAAGCAGAACAGTGTCACACCGCCTCTGAGTTGTGTAGTCGACTGTCTCCCGCGCCAACGCCTTGCCCACCTTCGGGGCCCCCTGGATCCTGTCGTGGCTGGACCGCAGCAGATAGGAAAAATAAAGGATTTGTTTCTTTGTTAAAAGAAAAAATTAGCCATGTAGTAGTTCAAGTGATGGAAAGAGATTAAAGAAAGCATTTTCTCCTTGGCCAGAAACAGGAAATTTAGGACAAATATAAAAGCAGAACATCAGAAACTAAATATAATGTCAAATTTGGTGGCAACTTGGATTTAAAACTGGGACACATTCTCCATTTGCTCTATACAAAAAAAAAAAGAAAAGAAATTTTGAAACTTTTAACTAATGCTCTAACAAAAATGTGTTTTATTAACTTGAAAAATTACTCATACCTTCATAGAGTCACTAAGTCTATTTTTCCAGTTATACTTCCTTGCTTTTGCATTTCTATAAATATGTATTGTAAACGTACAAATATATATTCTATAAATAGACAATAGAAATATACAGAATAAATTGTATTCTATAAATAAATTTAAGGATTTGTAACATATCTAAGGATATATTCCTTATAAATATCAGGAATTTGCTCTATAGACTACCTGTTAGTTGGCACTGTGCTAGTGGTTTAAAAAGATTTTTTTAAATAATTGTTTCAAGTGGTCATTGGTCTCTTTAAATTCCCGTTTAATTCTCTTGTCATTGTGAGTGGCCAGATATAATGGATAGTTACAGAGCAACAGTGATTAAAGAAGATTCAGGGAGCATCCAGAGGCCACATCCAGAATCCTCACAGGTTCTCACTGATCTCGGAATGTCCTTTTCTTCTTTTCAGCTACGCATCTAACAAAGCAAGTAAAGCTGCTTCTGTTCTCCTGTATTCTCTGTGGATGCACACGGAGCTCCACAATGCCTACAAGAAGGTAAGAGCGCTGAAAAGGCGTATGTCATAGTTAACAGAGCCAGATCATAATGGCCCCACTTGACTGACTCTGGTTAGAAATCACTAAGAACTGCATTTTCTTGTGTGAAAATGTTGACACATTTCACATTTTTGTCTGCTTATTCCGAAGGCTCAGTTTAAGAAGACAGATTTTGTCAACAGCCGGACTGCCAAAGCCTACCATTCCCTTAAAGACTGAGGAAAGTGAAAAGGTGCTCTCAGAAATACCAACTTCGCCATTCTCAGCCACCAAAAAAAAGCCCCAAAGGAAAACACCTATTTTTCTACTTCCTCGTCCAAGAAACCTGAAAAAAGCATGCCCTATTTTTATCCTTTTCTATTTCCAGACTCCAGAAGACAAATAATCAGAATACAATTTTATTAATCTTCCAGAAGATTTTTACAAGTTTGCCACCTGGCAACAGGCTCAGTTTTACTCTCTGCAAATAGTAGTGATCAGGGCTTACAGTGCACAGCTTCCTGGAACCAAAATGTTAATATGTGGAATGGACATTAACAGAATAAATGAGGAAAGAAGCTGTTATGATATTGCTAGGATTTTAAAAGTATAATTTACACTTATATTTTCTGGTTTCCATGTTTTGTCACTCATATGCACATTGCTTCTCCATCGAGCCATGAGTATATTCTTCTGCAGTGTTAAAACAGAATGGAAATGAGAAATATTTGCTGAGCTGTTCAGGAGAAAATTTAATGGCAAAACTATATGTTTGTTTTTTTACTTTGTGCTTGTTTTTATCCTCTTGAATTTCTCTGATTTTAAATGAACTTAAGAAATTTAGATCACAGAGCATGCATGACTATAAGAAAAAAAAATTGAAAGATAGTGATTAAAGCAGATTTAAAATCTTTTCCACAGAGAAAGACAACAAAGGTTATGAAATTTAGTGTTTCCTATAAACACTGAGTAAATGAGATTTTCGCACAAAGAAATACTTTACCTGTAACAACAGCATTAAATGTAAATCTCTTCTGAACAGTAGCATTCAATGTAATCTATTTCCTGGACTTTTGCAGCCATTGCAAAGGGCTGGTGGAAGGATGAACTCTACATTTAGCGACAGAAGGAACCAAGACCTTTCAAACTGTTGGGCCAGTCCAGGACTCTGAAAACACAGCTTAGTTTAATGAATTACATTGTCAACTTTTCCCAACATTTAAAAAATAGCACAGAGCCACTATATCTCATGTGCTCTTCCTCAAACCATTATTTCAAGCCAAGGAAACTCTAGAGAAGAAAAATGAAGAAGTTATATTGAGAAAAAAAAAATGTGTCTAGGCACCTGAAAGTGATATGAGAAATACCAATGTTTAAAAGTTGACAACATCATCTGTTGAAGCAAATCTATTAAGCGTTATTTTAACTGGGTTGTTGTTAATACCATTCATATAGAAATAGTCTTCTCAACTACAATTCTATTGTATTTTGCTTTTTTAAAAAATCTGGCAACGTTTATTATAAGAAAGAAGGAAAATAATCCTCCTTTTGGCCAGAAAAGTGTAATAGAAAATAAATTCCCATTTTCAATTTGAGTGTGTACATGTCTTTATTATATTTAGAACTTAAAATTTTTTCAATTTTAAAAGCTCAATGAAGAAGACTTAAGTTACTAATTTAAACAATTATTTAGATGCCAGTTTTTAAAATACTAAAAAGAAAAAGTTTTCCAGAGTTTTGATGATAAACATTTAGAGTATATTTATTTCTCTAGATAAATTATGTATGTCGAAGTTTCTGTGTTTTTTTTTAAGGCATTTGTAGAGTTTTCAATAATATTAAACACAAAATGAGGCAAAAATAACATTGCCTGCATTGGTATCTGTGTATATCTGATTTATCTGTGTATGTTAGTATATGTGGTATGATTGACATGACATTTGAGGATTTGACCTTATAATTAAAGTCCTAAATTCCCTAATTAGAATCCTAAATTCTCTACCAAGAACATTTCCTGTAAGAAAGATAGGACTAGCTAGTGACTAAAACATATAAAAATGGAAAGACATACAAATGCATTAGCTATTGTTAGATTTTAGTAAATGGAGTGAAAGATAGTTTGATTCCTATGTTTTACCTTGTCACTCTGTTTACAAAAACCTCACTGCTTTGCTACCTCTAAACACTTCTAAAGGAGGTGGTCCTTGTATGGCTGAATATCAGTTTTGATCACAGGTCTACCACAAAGCTCTTTTTTTTTTTCTTTTTTTTTTAATGTGTCCCAGACTGTGCCTCTGTCATCAAAGGAACTGATGGGCTGAGCTGGGCCTTTTTGTTTATTTGTGTTAAGAGTTCCAAAGGGCTGCTGCCTTGTCAAGAATTCTTAAAGGTCTTCTGAAATATGGGATATTGCTATCTTGAATTTGTATAACTGGAAACACTTGTTTATACCTAATGGAAATAACTAAAGGATTATCTAACAAAATAGAAAGATTAACATGTGAAATGAGAAAATAAGCAGCATAAGTAGATAAACCACATTAAAACCAATGCAATCACCCTCTAAAGAAGCAATTAATTCCCAGACGAAAAGAGAAATCCCATTTATAATGTATATATAATATAGTTATAAATGAAATTTCCTTTAAATAACATGTGTAATGAACTTACTGTATTGGAATGAGGATTTCAGTATGTGTGTACTCTGAGCAAATTGCAGAAGTCTCAGATCACAGAATCTGAGGATTAGGAGAGAATTTAGAGGGCATCTGGCCAAGTCCTCCTTAAAGTACCTGCTTGCGTCAGAAAAGACTCAGTTCTTATTAAAATGACAGAAAAGAAAAATATGCAGTCCATTCATTCAACTAATGCCCAAAATGACCCTGTAATTGTTGGCCATCTTAAGACTCAATAACTATTGTATTAACAAATGTTGGAAGGAAAATAGATTAAAAAGGAAACAAACTTTTCAAAATAAAATTCTGCTTTAGGTTGAACACTTTAGTTTATAGTGGTACTGAGAGTTTCATTTCTTATGAAATAAATTTCGACCCTTTAGGACTATAAGAAAAGAACTTTTTCTTTTATGATATGTTCAGGAAGGAGAAATCAAAATGCCACATATTGGCATAAGAGCTGTTTAAAATATGAGCAGAAGAGAAAGCATTCTGAAAACCATAGTTTGGGAGACACAGTTAAAGAATCAGGCAATATTTAGCCTGGAGAAGGGTACCATGTTACCTGTCTTTAAATGTTTGAAAGACCATTGTACAAAAGATGACACTGTTATTCTGACAGAGTAGAGGACAGACCAGGGTCCATAGGTGGAGACTTGTGAGACTAGCCCAACATATATTTGGGCAAATAGTGGACATACATTGAGCACACCTTATATCAAATATCATGGAGTATTTATCTTTTCCTTTTTTCCGTTTTTTTTTTTTTTTGCATTTTACATATGAAAATAACCTGAAGCAGAGCATTAAGTCACATTCCAAAGTCACATAGCTAGATAGTGCAGAGGGTACATATGAACCCAGGTTGAGTGGCTCCTCACTGAGGGTTCTGTGGGAACCATGAGTGACAGACTCATGTCTCATTACTAGGGAAACAGGATCGCTTTGGCTTATCTCTTTGGAGAGTTAAGAGGGTGGTCTGACAATGGTTAAGAGGACTGATTCTAGAACCAGCCAGCCTGAGCTCAAATATGACTTCTCCATTTACCAGCTGGTAAGTTTCTTTCTCTGAGCCTCAGCTTTCCTTATCTGTTACATGTGAATGATAGTAGTAGTTACCTCACTGGGTTGTTTTGAGGATTAAATGTTTTCATAATTATAAACAGTACCTGTGTATCTACTCAGTAAATGCTAACTAAATTCTTTGGAATTCTCTGGTTTGGGGGGCGTCTTTGCTTTTCCTTTTAAATCTCTCTTAAATTTCTCTTCAGATATGGTTGGTTCAGTTAAAAGTCCCAACTCTCCCCTCACCCACCCAATTTTACACACTGACTCATCCCTTAGAAGGCCAGGCAGAAATGAGAACAAATATGGCCCAAACAAGTGGTTCTGAACGTTTGTTCCTCAGAACACAAGTCCTTTGGGAGTATTTATAAGAGTTATGTGAAAAGGAATATCCCATACTTAAGTAAGTTTGAGGAGGGCTGAATTATACAAAGATCAAAAAAATCTTGACTCCGAAGGCTTCTCAGAGTCCCTAATATGAGATATGCGTTGTGAAATCTCCAAGAAAGCGTAGAGTATGCCGCATGTCACAATCCTTTTGTTTGAATCAATAACCCCTTTTTTTCTTGACCCTTGACCCTTGAAGAAGCTGCTTCTATGATAAACACTTTGACTCAACAGCGATCAGAGCCATAGACAAGAGGACAAAAGCTATCTGGTGTACAGTCTAGTCCAGTTCATCGTGCTAAAGCCTGAGATTAGTCAGGAACGGTATTTTAATAAAATCTGAAAATCAATGATTTCAATAGATTGAGGACTCGTTCCTGAACCTTTTGTTTCATTCGAACCACCTGGAGTGTTGCCAATCTGCAGACAGGAAGACAACTAGAAGGTCATTATTAGCCCACAGAAGCAGGTTGAGGTGACAAAAGACAAGCCTACATCCGGCTTATCAGACCTCCTCATAAATCTCACATCAAGAAGCAGTTAAATCTCTAAGAAGCGGGAATTTCACCTGTATGCTGCTAACAGACAATACAGCTGGCAGTAAAAAACAAGTACAAACTGTTGCAGATTTTCTTAAGCCATAATAAGATGTTCTTCCCAGTAACAACTAATCCTTTGGGTGTAGTTCTGTTTTTGTTTTAGAAGAGGGGTTCCATTTTTAATTACATCTTTCAACACACATGTATTGAGCACTTATTCCTGGAGCTGAAAACCAGAGAGAGGCATCTTTATGAGGAAGTACGCCCAGAGCTTAGTGAAACTGACTTCATTATGATGGGCTCTGTCACAATTTAAAGTATATTTTGCTTTACTTGGGAAATGAAAAACTATCAACTATATGGTGAGGATTAAGGAGCTCTGGAATTGGTCTCTCATAAAAAAGAAATGGTTGGAGTAAGAAGCAGAGAATTATTAAGAAGATACCTTTATGTTTAGTCAGGATTCATCAGAACTGACAAGTTGTAAAAAGAGAATGTGAAAATTCTAATATTTAGAAAATTAAGCTAAAGAAGGTGTGGTACATACATACAATGGAATATTACTCAGCGATAAGAAGAGATGAAATACTGCCATTTGCAACAACATGGATGGATCTTGAGATAATCATCCTAAGCGAAATAAGCCAGACTGAAAAAGTTGATAATCACATGATATCACTTATATGTAGGATATAAACCTAAAAGCAACAAATGAACAGGACAGAGACTCATGGACATGGACAATGGACTAGTGGTTACCAGAGGGTAGGGGGTGAGGGAGGAGGGGATAGGTAGATGGGGTAAAAGGAGTCAAATATAGAGGGATAGAGGGAGGGTGAAGTGGGTAAAGGGGATCAAATATATGGTAGCTGAAGGAAACTGGACTTTGGGTGGTAATCACACAATAGAATATATAGATGTCTAATGATAATGTACACCTGAAAATTATATAATTGTATTAACCAATGTTACCCCAATAAACTTAATTTAAAAAATGGAATAAAAATTAACAAAATTTTTTTCTTACAAATTTGTTTCTTTTACCCATTGCTCTAGTTGGATATTTTTTCAGCTCCTAATATAAAAAATAGAAGTAATCTATTTTTGTAGTATTTTATGCCTAAATAGCTTTTTATAAGAATTATGCGTGAACATATTAAATAGCACATTTCCACTTCTTTTGGTAGCTCATACCTAAAGTGACCCAATTCTTCATCTCATGTTCTAGTTCTCCTTCTTTAGTTTATCACTTAGGATGCTCCATTTGCATTTGAAAATCAAAAAAAAATTCAACTCATAATGGCTTAAGCAATAAATGTTTTTATTGTAGCATAAAGATATAAAGATCATCTTTTAACAGGGAGACCATGTTTAGACTCCAGCTTGGTTATTTCAGCAGCTCATACAAGTCATTAAGAACCCAGATTCCTTCGATCTTTCTGTTCTGACATCTTCAACATGTTAGCTTTTTGTTCCCTGGCTTATTTTTTCATATCGACAAAATTGTTGCAGTAGCTCCAAATATCCCATCTTTACAGAGCCATGCCCAAAAGCGAAAAGAATAAACATTACTTTCTTACATCCTTTTTCTAAAATAAGTAAATTTCCCCAAAAGCCCCATCAGCAGTCTCTCATTTCATATTGCCTGGAATTACATCACACATCCATTTGTAAATCAGTTCCTGGTGAGAAGAATGAAACTATTATTCCTTTCTTAAAACCACACACTTCACCCAGAGATAGGCATGTTTCCTCTGAGCCTCATGATGGTTAATACCTGAAAAAAGTATTACCGAGTAAGGAAAAAGGGCTGCAGAGTAGTCAACCAACATCGCCTGCCCTATATCAGAACACTCAAAGAATAAAGAATTCAACATTTTT